CAGGGAGGGGCCTTCTCGAAGCTCTGAGGTCATGTTTCATGAGGAAGATAAGCACCATACCAGGTTCTGCCAGGCCTGGGTCCCGGGCAGTCCCCTCCTACTGCCCCTCCCCGTCGTCAGCCGGTCTTCCCCCTCTCCACACACGCGCGCGCGCACACACACACACACACACACACACACCGCCCCGGCCCTTTACACGTGCTCACAAGCATCCTGTGATTCTCTTTATCAGGGCTTATAGTTCTCTATTTGCCAGATGGCTTGATTAATGTCTGTCTCCCCTACGACTGTGGGTCTACAAGGTGGTACTATTAGGATGGCTGGGGCTGTGCTTGTCTTCTTCGCTGTCTCCCTAGCAGTTGGCAAAGGGACTCATTCATTTGAGTGAAAGAATGAGTTAAAGAATAAACTCCTCCATCAGACACCATGGACTCTCTAAGGGCAGGAATGGCTTCATTTATTTTTGTATTCCCCGACCTCTGCCACCGTGCCTGGCCCAAAGTCAGTAACCAATAAATAGTGTGGGATGGACGACTCACTGGGATTTAAGGGGGGTCAGGAAGAGCCTTTGCAGATGTGTTCATGTCTATCCCTTCCCACCTGTGAGGCAGTGAGGACATGGCCTTCTCCTCCAGGTAGCTCTCCTGGGAATAGAGGGCTCCCCAGCAGAGCTGAGAAGGCGGAAGTGTAGTGCTGACTCAAGAAGAGGATGGGAGTTGAGGTCTCGGGTGGGCTGAACTAAGAGTGCTCTTCCAGGCACGTGGCTGCATTCCGGTGAATGGGGAAACTCTGTGGGAGCCATACCTGGTGAGCGCTCAACTCTGGGAAAGCTCAAAGAAGACAGGGTGGCAGCAGTGTTGGTGTCTGGGCTAAGGTCAGAGGCTGCAGTCATGCCGGCTGTTCACCTGACCCCATCCATCTCCCGAGCCTCCTGAGGTTGGGGACTGGGGCCAGGGCTCCCACAAGTGCCACTCTTTAGATGTGAGGCTCTGGACTTTAGGCTACTCCTTGCCTTCACAGAGCCGGGAAGTCTCAGACACACGGGAAACTGAAGGACAGAAGGAGCGGGGGTGGGATCTTGCCTTGGGCTTGGGGTGGATCCCTGCCCTGTCAGCAGAGCCTTAGTGCTGTTTTGCGGGGGGAGGGGGGTGCGGAATGGGTGAGGCTCCCTCGGGGCTGCAGAATCGCCCAGGCTCTCTGACCGTCAGTTGATTTGTTGATTTCTGAGCCCACCTTTCATGTCCAGATGAACTGAGGAGAAGGTAGAGAGTCTCCTGGGACCCAGGTCCTGTATGCTAAACAGATTTAGAGTCCAGAGTTTGCAGCCCAATCCCACATCCCAGAGCCTGAAAGCAACTTAAGACATATAGCGCTGGCTCCCTTAGCCGACAAACTCGTCTTGTCTTGTGGATTCCTGACTCCCTCCTGGTGGGCAGAGGAGTGCACTCATTCGGGATCCCCTCTCCCAGGGGTTTCTCTGAGCAGCTCTCTGACCGGCATGAATCAGAATACAGCCGACACAGATGTCAACCCTGGCACTCCCGCTGTGAAAGCCTGTGCTAAATGTTAGGATTTGAAACCAGAGCTCACGTGCAGCTTGAGACATAATTTAACCTAAATTCTTGCTTCCAGTGTCGCAAAACCCCCTAAACCTAACCAAATCAAAGCAAAATAAAGTGTGGGTAATTGACTAGCCACAAGTAGAGAGATACTGTTTCTAAGACTCCTTTTGAAACGAAACAAACTTGACTTCCTTTTGTTCAATGGTGGAAATATTTACCTAGAATGGATGCAGGCTAGTGTGTGGGCACAAAAAGGATTTAAACACATACACACGTTTATCACCAACTCTGTCAGGCCCGACATGTTTTGATAAAAGCTGATTTGGATTCCAAAGAACAGACTGTTTTTCAACGGAAACAGCATCTCATCAAGTCAAAAGATCCTCAGCAGTGCCAAAGCCAGGGGGCAGGTCCTAAGCCGTCGGGGGTCTCAGGCTGCAGGCTGAGACTTAACGAAATATGGTCCTAACCAGCTGACCCAAAGAGAAGCCGACATACGCATACATCCATTCTAGATAAATATTTCGTTTTGTTTTCCTAAAGCCAACTGTGGCCCTTCAGTACACGCCCGGGTAGCGTGTACCGTGGAGGCCGGCTCGGGTCCGAGCGCGTAAAGGCCCGCTCCAACAGGTGCAGCGCGGTTGCGCCCGGCCAATGTCGCGCGGGGTCTCTCCCTGGCACCCGTACCGGCACCGGCGCCGGGCCAGACCAGAGCCCTAGGGCGCAGAGACCGGCCTGCGCGTCGCCCGCGGCCGCTTCGCAGTGGTGGGGAGAAGGCAGGGGGCTGAGATGCGTCCTCCCTCGCCCCCTCCTTAAATTCCAGCGTCCTCCATTTGCTGCGCCCGGGGTGCGGCCTATTCAATCGCCGGCCCCAAAATCGGGGCGGCTGCGAGAGCAGAGCCGGGGCTGCCAAGAGGGCGAAGGAGGGGCGGGATGCGAGCGAGGCGAGTCCGCCGGGCAGTGCCCTGTGCGCGTGGAGCTGGGCGCGCTGGCGGCCCGTCACCTGTGCGGGCGCGCAGCGGCTGCGCCCCCACCCAGGCCTGGGGCGCCCAGAGCGACCGAGACGGCCCGAAGGCGGGGCTGGAAGTAGCGGCCTGGCCCCGCTGCGGCGGCGGCGGCGGCGGCGGCGGCGGGAAGCCAAGGAGGTTCTGGCGGGCGCGTCTTCCCTGGCCGGGACGCTCCGGAGCTCAGCGCCGGCGCCCCGGGCGTCCCAAAAGCCGGCGGGCACCCTATTCGCCCCCTGGCGGCTCTGGGGACACGCCGGGCGCCGCCGCCGCCACCGCCGCGGGATGAGCTGTCCACAGCAGCACTGGGCGCCGCCCGAGGTCACGCAAGGATCTGTCCCAGGGCTGCGAACCGGGAGGCAGATCGCCCTTGGGAGGAATGGAGGGGTGGTAGGACGAGGCAACTATGAGGTTTGGGGGTTTTCTTGGGATCCACGTCCCCTACATCGCGCGTGGGCTTCTCCACCAGCGTGATAACTGACACCCAGGCACCTCACTTCCGACTGGTCCTCCCTCCCTTCACCCTGGAAATAAAAGCCTCCCTGTCATTCTCACCCATTCTGGGAAATGGCCCCCATCTTCCCTCCTTCTGCAGTGACCTGACAATGGTAGCCTTGAAGGCACAGCCGCACCGGACCTGCCACTCCCCGGACCTTGCGCAGGCAGAGCGCCCTGAGGCAGTGCTGGTAGGTTAGTAGGAGAGGATCAGCGTTCAACGGGGTCCCGAGTGCCCATTGGGAGCCTAGCACTGCCCTTGGTTTTGTAGGAGGTTAAAAGTCCTTGCCCTCTGGGTGCTTCCAATCTCAGAAGACAAACACACTTAAGAGACTGTTGTCATAGCAAGTAGCCTGGCAGCAGGAGCTTCAGGAGAGGACATAGTGGAGATGGGCTGGAGTGTGAACACTGGAGCCATTAGAACTTGCTAAGTGGACAGGATTTGGAAGGGGAGAGGGAGAGGAAGAGGGAGGGAGGGAAAGAGAGATAGAAGATATTCCTGGTCCAGTCTGGAGTGGTGTGGAGGGCTGGTCTGGGAGAGCTAGAGGGGCCACCCCTAGAGGCTCTGTAAGGGTGGGCTTCTGCAGTGGGAGAGACAGAGAGAAGGAAGAGCTGGAGGCTGGATGCCCTCTGGGAAGCAGCAGAAGAGCCTGCTCTGAGGTGCTGGCTGAGGCAGGCTGCCACTTGCACAGTTCCGAGGTCTTCTTCAAGAGGCTGGGTCATACACTACAAAAACCAAAACAACCCCCCTCCCCCCCGCAAACAAAAAAAACCGTGGGTCACACTCAGTGGTTTTTGTCCAGAAGGAGGAAGCCCAGGTTATGGAAGGAAGAGGGAGCGGCTGTAGGCTAGGTCCAAAGGTGAAAAGATTAAAAGAGTGAGGCGGGAGGGAGCAGATGAAGTAGCGCTGGGATGAGAAGGAAGCACCAGGCTGCTTCCTTGGGGAGGAGGAAGCCAAAGGGCAGGAGCCTGTCTGAGGGGCCAGCAGGGGGCGCAGGGGCCCCAGAACCTCAGGCCCGCCAGAGCGGGCTGTAGTTGACAGTCTGGCTGTCAGTCTCTGACCCATTTCGCATTCCATTTTCCTTACCAAAGTCATCTCAGGTAATTGGGAAGAATGCTTCCCACCCAGCATCTGGCTTTGTACAGAAGATGTGGCAAACCCAGGATGAAACTTCTAAGCCTCACTGTGCCCTCCTGTCCAAATCTGTCTAGGTCTTAGGGCTGCAGGTATCTTGCCTCAGCGTTTGGCTTAGAAAAGCTATCTTTCTGGCAGCGGAGACAGCCACTGGGTCTTGCCTCAGTAGTGTGTCTTCCTACTTGGCCTTAGCATCCAGAAAGGACTATCCATGCCTGGGGTTGGGTAGCTTCATGGTAACCTCTCATCCAGACTCTGGGGCAGGCTCTGAATAGGATCATGGGGTCAAGCCTGGCAGACAAAGAGTGAAGAGCCCACACACCCAGGCACTGGCTATGCCAGCACTCCCACGAGAAGGACTGAAGCTGCCCAGATATTGAGCTGGGAGAGTTAGGGCAGGCTGTCCCAAGCCACCAACCGCAAAGAGGGCTTTGGGCGACGGGACTCCCCGGCAGCCAAGCAGTCAGACAGGGCAGACTATGAGATGCTCGTCGGCATGGCACCCCTGGAGGAGGCAGAGGGAGAGGGCAAGCACTGTCACCAAAGCCTGCCCTAGTGATGGCTCTGTCAGGGCACTCCACAGGAGAGGGCCCAAGGAAGCACCATTTGAAAGAAAAGCCAGGGTCAAAAGTCTTTTGACATAAGAGTGGAGTGGGGTTCCAGTGTGTGCAGAGATGGGGTGATGGAAGGAGGGGAAGGGCCCTGGCCTGGCGGGAATCGCATAGGCCAGCAGCACTCATTTGCCCAGGCCAGATTTCCTTCCCTTAGCAATCAGATCACAATTAAAGGAGAACCTCCACTTACTCATGCTCTGCTTGAATTCCTCTAGGGTCAACCACCTGCACTTTCCCCATCTTCTTTTTTTTCAATCCTTTCATGTTCAACTTTTTTGTGTCTTTTTTTTTAATTCATTTTTTATTTTTGGCTGCATTGGGTCTTTGTTGCGGTGCGCGGGCTTCTCATTGCGGTGGCTTCTCTTGTTGTGGAGCACGGGCTCTAGGCATGCGGGCTTCAGTAGTTGTGGCTCGTGGGCTTCAGTAGTTGTGGCTCGTGGGCTCTAGAGTGCAGGCTCAGTAGTTGCGGCGCACGGGCTTAGTTGCTCCGCGGCATGTGGGATCTTCCCGTGTCCCCTGCATTGGCAGGCAGATTCTTAACCACTGTGCCACCAGGGAAGTCCTTCCCCATCTTCTAAAGGAGCCTGGTGAAAATAGGGAGAAGCATGCTGCGTTTCTTCATGGACAATGCTTGTGGGAGTGTGCCTGAGGGTTTGTGTTCCCTGTGGTATTTGCTACCATTACCCCTCTCTCCCTTGGAACATGCCCCAGAGGGGAACATGGTCTCTCGGCCACCTTTCCCTGCCACTTGTTTTTCAAATTTACAAACACAGTATCAATATCTAAGTCCCTACTATGTGCCAGGCACTATGGCAAACATGTTAGGTGTACGGCCTCATCTGCTCCTCACAATAGCTCAGGGCCCCATCATCCCTACTCTTTAACTGGTTCCAGTTCCCAATCCCAGCCAGGCACAAGGGGTTGAAGTCTGTTCCCTAAGCTGATATAGAGGACACAGTCCAATCTTGGCATCACTCACAGTGTGGTGGCTCAGTAAGTATTAATTAACTCTGAGGACAAGCTGCACTTTGACTCCCCTCTGGCTAATTAAATAAACCTGCCATGTAAATCAGCAGAGGGGACAGAGAGACGTTGGGCTATATTGAAAAGAAACTGGGCTGAGGGACAGTAGGACTGTTGGCCTTCAAGTAGAAATTGATCTTGGCCTGCTCTGGCTCTCTTTGCGTTCTTTGAAGCTAGGGCCAGAGTGGTGGGGATGAGGAATAACCCCTCTTGGAGAAAGCCTCCCCCGTGAAGTCCTGGAGAACTGGGAGGAGGTAGGCAGGACTCCCATGCGCACTGGGCCCCCCAGTTGCCTACAACGACATGTGAGTTCTCTAAGGAACAAGACAGAACTGGCTGGCCCTCACCCTCCCCTCCCACTGCATCCTCATCCTTGAGTCACCATGGCCCTGTGGTCCTGGGTCGGCTGTAGGGGACCTGGGACCCAGGTAAGACATGCTGTGAAAGCCCCTTCCCACCATTGCTGGCAGTGTTAGATTGTTGGGGCCGGCAGGCGCCTTGCTGGGCTCTGCTTCCTTCTGCTTCTTCCAGAAGAAAATGAGCTATGGCAATGGCTCAGGCCCTCTGGAGGCCCAGTTCCCCCTCTGACCAACTGGGAGACCTGGGGCAGGCCATTTAACCTCACCAGGCCTGGCCCTACTCCATTAAATAGGGAAGTAATAATGTCAGCCTCACAAGGGGTCTGTGCGTATAGTAAGGGCTCAGTAAGTAGTAACTGTTTGATGATGATGATGATGACGACGACGACGACAACTGTCTGGTTCACAACAACCAATTGTATCCCTAATAATGCTGGTCTGTCTTCAGATGTAGCTGGAATAGCTACTGTGTTTGAGCCCTAAGCTGTCACTTTGAAGGTGGTTATTTTCTATATGGAAAAAGAAAGAACATCATCTCTAAATAATGTCATGAAGTTAACATGTAAGGATAAAATGAGATAAGGTAAGGGTGAGGGCAAGGGAAGAGTGAGTGTAGAAGTTGCTGAGAAAGGATGTGGCAGTGTGGCAGGATGCCTATGCCCTTTCCCCTCCCATCCAAGTCTCTTCCTGCAGCCACTTGGGAGCCTTTGCCCCTCAGAGCCCTCACTCCTCCTTTTCCCTTGGGATAGTGTTTCGAGCAGGGCTCAGAAGATTAAGGCCAACTCTGGGGGCCTGTGGCTCATAGCAGGCAGTCCCCCACACTGTCCTCTCCTAGGAGAAGTCACACGGGTCGCCATGGTGGGCCACAGGAGCCCTGCAGAGTCCCCTAGAGCTGCCAAGCAGGCACAAGACAAACGTTTACATTCAACGTATTGGAACAGATCGAATGTGGTTCTCAAAAAACTCAGACTTGCAAGCTTTGGAGAAGGCCCAGGTTTGGCTCCTTTTAACTCCCAAACAAATTCTTGTGGGATGTTGCAATTACTTGTGACAATCCCTCTCCCTGCCTGGGACTTTGATTTCAGATTTAGACATGTAAAACTGGGTGGCTGGCTGGGCCTTGAGCAACTTGGGGGGTGTGGTGGGAGATGGCTAGGGAAAATTCTTTGCAGCATATTGTGTTTGGAAGCGAGACCTCGAGGAATCAGACGCTGTAGCTCTGTTTGTGTTATAGAACTTTTCAGCCCCTGTGGCAGATTTCCTGGCCTTGAAATTGGTTCACTATGCGGGAGTGGTTCATTCTGTCCTTTGAAACACAAATGTCTAGGAATCATTTTATGGAGTAACTTTTGGAGTAACTTTCCAATCAAAGTTATGACAAATTCTGCAGTCCTTACCCTGAAATCTTATTCACTGGATAAGCAGCAGGTGAAGATTTATCAAGGGGATATTTTAGTGGTAAGTGGTGCTGACCTTGCCCAAAGGTACCTGGAAACAGGAGGAGGTGATGCAGAGACAGCCAAGTGGATGCAGAAACAGGAGAGGAACATGGCCGGGCAAAGCACGTCCAGGTGTCTGGACTCCATGGCCTTTCTTGGTACTCAGGTGTATATGCAAACACTTCAGGCAAACTGCCTATATCTTTGTGTTGCCATCATACCTGGCCTTAAAGCACATTCAGCTATTCTGGGGGATGAGGTGAGGACCTGGACCCTGGTCAGGCTCCTTTTTCCTACTTCCTGGCTGCCACACCTGCTCTGAGAGCCCAGAAAACTTTAGCTCTGGCTTTTTTGGCTTTCATATTGGCAACAAAACAGCTGGATACAGCTATCCCTGGAAGGGTTTCGAGCAGAAGGGCTAGGACCTCTTGGCCATTGGCAGTCAGCTGGATCTAACAACCTGCCTCTTGAGGCTGGTGCACAGAAATCAGGAATCAAAAATGCCTGGGAATTCCTAGACACTCTGTAAAGTTGAGGGTGGTGAGCAGAGTCATAGGCTGCTATCTGTTGGCAAGTCAGGGGCAATAAGCTCTTCCTTTTAGTGTAGGCATCGGGCATAGAATCATTAACACTGCTATTCTCTCGAATACCTGTGAGCTCTCCTTCCAAGCTATCATCTTGTCTGAATGAAGCTTAGAAATTACATGGAACAATGTGAAAAGAGAGAAGGTCAGAATGAGAGACTGTGTTTCAGGCCAACCAGACTCTCAGGGAAATCCTGACTAAAGAAAATATTAAGCCGTACTACTCTAGATTTGAAATATTGGAATTCCTGAGAGAGCAAGACGAGAAGGGGGATTCTAGGAATGGGATATAAAAGCAGGGCATAAAAGAGATAGGACAATTCCCCTGAGTACTTTTGGGTCTTGGACAGATAAAGCTTGGAATTCCTGAGCAAAAGCAAATACTCAACTGTTTCATCCATCTCTGAGTGGGAAGAGGGAATGAGTAAGCTAGAATCACAGGACACTGCAACACCAGGCTCTGGTGGCTCAGGACACCAGCCAATGGACACTGAGAGACTGCAGGGGTCAGGAGAAGAGAGAATGTCTCCCCTGGAGGCCCTTAAGAACATAGCTGAGGGCTTCCCTGGTGGCGCAGTGGTTGAGAGTCCGCCTGCCGATGCAGGGCACACGGGTTCGTGCCCCGGTCCGGGAAGATCTCACATGCCGCGGAGCAACTGGGCCCGTGAGCCACAACTACTGAGCCTGCGCGTCTGGAGCCTGTGCTCCGCAACAAGAGAGGCCGAGACAGTGAAAGGCCCGCGCACCGCAATGAAGAGTGGCCCCCGATCGCCGCAACTAGAGAAAGCCCTAGCACAGAAACGACGACCCAACACAGCCAAAAATAAATAAATAAATTTATTAAAAAAAAAAAAAAAAAAAAGAACATAGCTGAGGCATTCTATTTCTGGATAAGAAGGCTCAATATTGTAACGATATCAACTCTCTCCCAACTTAATTTACATGATAAATAAAATCCCAACCAAAATCCCAATAGGACTTGTCAAATGAAATTTGACAAGCTGACTGAGAAGTACATCTGGAAAGAAAAAATATGTAAGAATAACAAAACAATTTGGGGGAAAAGAATGAAAGAGAAAAATACACTGTATCGACACACACTCAAAAGCTACAACTATTAAAATGGTACTGCACAAGGAATATAAAAAAGTTCAATGCAACAGAATAGAGAATCCAGACAGTCACATATATTTACGGGACTTTTGAATATGAGAAGAGTAGTATTTCAAGTCACGGGGCAGAGGATGGCCTATAGGATAAATAATTCTGGGCAGCACGTGACCCTCTGCCCAAAGAAAAGAAAATAAGGTTAGATCCCTAGCTCACACCATATATGAACATAAATTCCAGATGGATTAAAGAACTAACATAGAAGTACAACTATTGGGCTGGCCAAAAAGTTTGTTCGGGTTTTTCCGTGACATCTTACAGAAAAACTCGAATGAAGTTTTGGCCAACCCAATATGAAAGAAATATAAGAAAATATGGGAGAATACATTTATTATCTGGGCAAAGGGAAACCTTCTTTAAAAACCATACAATACAAAGCCATGAAGGAGAGGACAGATACATTTGATCAAAATAAAAAGCCTCTGTATAACCCAAGGAACTATTATAAGGTTAAAAGGACAAGTCGGCCTGGACCAAGGGGTGGCTCATTCTGCCTGGCAGCAGACTGTGAGGCCAGATGGCCTTGGAGGCCTTTCCTTTCCCTCACAATTCCTTCGTAGAAGTCAGGGTTCAGGAGGAAGCGAACACCAGAGGGTGGCTGCTTTCCATTGTTATCATCCTCAGAGCCCTACAATCAAGAGACAGCTCAAGTCATAGTTATTCAGAGCCAGCGTAAAATGAGCGGGTTGAGTGGATCAGTGTGCAGGAGAGGAGCAATGAAGCAAGATGGAAGGACCAGAAAC